ATATATATGTTTTTATTGGTTTCAGAGAGGAAGGAGAGGGAGAGAGAGATAGAAACATTGATGAGAGGGAATTTTTGATCGGCTGCCTCCTGCCTGCCGCCTGCTGGGGATCGAGCCTGCAACCCGGGCATGTGCCCTGACCGGGACTCAAACTGTGACCTCTTGGTTCATAGGTTTCACTCAACTACTGAGCCACACGGGTTGGGTCAATCGATTTCTTTTTTTATTTTAATTTTTTCAATTACAATTGACATTCAATATTCTGTTAGTTTCAGGTGTACAACATAGTAGTTAGGCTCTTATAAAACTTACAAAATGATTCCCCCAATAAGTCGAGTACCCACCTGGCACCATACATAGTTATTAAAATATTATTGACTCTATTCCTTATGCTGTACTTCACATCCCCATGACTGTTTTGTAGCTACCAGTTTGTACTTCTTCCTCCCTTCACCTTTTCCTCCCAGACACCCACTCCCCTCCCATCTGGCAGCCAGTAGTCTGTTCTCTGTACCTATGAGTCTGTTTCTGTCTTGTTTGTTCATTTACTCTGTTTTTTAGATTCCACATATAAGGGAAATCTTATGGTATTTGTCTTTCTCTGACTGACTTATGTCACTCAGCATAATACCCTTTGGGTTCCTCCATCTTGTCACAAATGGTAAGATTCCAATATTTTTTTATGGATGAGTAATATTCCATTGTGTATATGTACCATATTTCCTTTATCCACTCATCTATTAATGGACATCTAGGTTGCTTCCATATCTTGGCTAGCCTATATAATAAAAGCCTAATATGCTAAGTGTCCGGTCGTTCAGTTGGACATTCAACCAATCAAAGAATAATATGCTAATGATATGCTAAGGCCGCTCAACCGCTTGCTATGACGTGCATTGACCACCAGGGGGCAGATGCTCTGACCAGTAGGTTAGCTTGCTGCTGGGGCCCAGCCAATCAGGACTGAGCGAGATGAGCCGGACATACCCTGAAGCCCTCCCCTGATCCCTCCCCTGCTGGCCAACCTCCTGCATCCTTCCCTGGCCGAATAGTGAACCAGTGGGGTCCCTCGGCCTGGCCTGCATCCTCTCACAATCCGGGACCCCCTGGGGGATGTCGAAGAGCCGGTTTCGGCCCAACAGCAGAACGACCGGTCGCTATGATGCACACTGACCACCAGGGGGCAGATGCTCAATGCCGGAGCTGCCCCTTGCTGGTCAGTGCGCGCTCCCACAGGGGGAGCACTACTCAGCGAGAAGAGCAGCTCACGGTTGGCTAGTGCAGCAGCGGTGGTGGGAGCCTCTCCCATCTCCACAGCAGTGTTAAGGATGTCGGACTAGGGCTCCCAGACTGTGAGAGGGCACAGGCCGGGCTAAGGGACTCCCCGTCCCCCCCTGCCCCCAGTGCACGAATTTCATGCACCAGGCCTCTAGTTGTAAATACCACTGCAATGAACATAGAGATGTATATGGCTTTCACACTAGTGCGTTGGATTTCTTTAAATAAATACCCAGATGTGAACTTGCTGGGTCATAAGGCGGTTCTATTTTTTTTTTAACCTTTTGCGGAATCTCCACACTGTTTTGCATAGCAGCTGCATCCATTTGCATTCCCACCAACAGCTGAGGGTTCCCTTGTCTCCACATCCTTACCAGCTCTTGTTTGTTGATAAGTTTACATTTCTAACATCCCACAACGTTAGGATCCTGAGGTCCTAATATTAATATGTGAATATCACTAGCTAGCTTTTGTTGAGTGCTTTTCCTGTATTAATGCAATTCTTTTTTAAAAAGGAACATATTTTTATTGATTTCAGAGAAAAAGAGAGAGGGAGAGAGAGATAGAAACATCAATGATGAGAGAGAATCACTGACTGGCTGCTTCCTGCACGCCCCCCTACTGGGGATCGAGCCTGCAACCCGGGCATGTGTCCTTTTGGGAATTAAACTGTGATCTCCTGGTTCGTAGGTCAACCTCAACCCCTGGGCCACGCCGGCTGGGCTAACTCCTTTCTTATCACAACACCATGAGGTAGACACTATTATTAGCTGCATTTTACAGACGAGGGAACTGAGGCTCAGGGGGCTGCAGCATCCTAACTGCCCAAGTTCTTACAGCGGCCCGGGGCCGGCCATGCCGGGCGCAGGTTGGCCCACCGGGCTGGGCGTCGCAGCCACCATGGACAGCGTCCTTGGCAACGGAGCCCACCTGCCTCCTCTCTGGTCATGTCGTCTGGTTCTGCCGCTTTGCCAGAACCTTGGGGTCCCTCTGCCCCTCCCACAGGGCTGGGCTTCCCTTGGAGAACTGGAGCCCAGGACCCCTTTCTTCTGAAAGTGATAATTAACCATAGTGACCACTTATCGATCGTATAGTGCATTTCAGAACCGGCGCCGAGTCCCTGAGGAGCATGGTGGGAGGGGTGGGAGGGAAAATTAAAGGTTTTATAGATGAATTGACACCCCAGAGTCACTCTGCTGCCTACAGCTCTACCAGGGAGAGCCCACTCATTCCCTGTCCCCTCACAGCTCCCCCTGATTAAGCCAATGTCACTGCCTCGCTCCCTCCCCACCCCACTGTAGAGCATCCTGTGTGCCCTCAGCGACATGTTTAAACGTAAGCCAGCCCACCTCCCTCCGCTGCCCAGAGGGTTTCCATCTCACTTGGACGAATGGCCACAGCCCTCATCGTGGCGCACCAAGGCCTACACCATCTGCTCCTGTTCCCCCTGTGACGTCATCTGCCCCCCTCTCCCCCCTGCTCCCTCCACTGCAGCCACACTGGCCTCAAACACTCCGGCCGCTGCTGCCTCAGGACATTTGCATGTCCTTGAACATGAATACTCTTCTCCAGATCTCCTCCACTTGGGCCCCTCCTCGGGGCTCTGCTCAGACGTGCGCTCCTCGGCAAGGCTTTCCCCGACCACCCTAACGGCACCCCGTCCTCACTCTCCACCCTCTCCCTCTGTTTTCTCCACGGCACCGTCGTCACCTGACGTCATGTTTGTTCTTCATCTCCTGCACTAGAACTCTCCGCTGCTCTGGTGTTACTGCTGTTTCCCCAGCACTTAGAACAGTGCCTCCTGGCACACAGCAGGTGCCCAATAAATATTGGTTGAATGAAGCAACTGCAATTAAATCGTTAAATGTGTAATTGTCACCGTGATAGGCTCTGCCATGAGGCTGTGCGCTCTGTGAAGACAGCCTGTTCTCCGCTGTGTTCCCAGCAGGGCCCAGCACAGGGCAGAGCAGGTGCTCAGGGAGTGTTTGTTAAATGAATGAATGAATGAATGAACGAACGAATGATGCCAAGTTCAGGAATGTGGTCTTTCTCTTGGGGGTCCCGGGAACACAGAGCCTGACAAGGCCAGTCCTGGGCCCTGCAGTGCTTCTACTCCAAGGGCGGTCCATTGGCAGGGACTGTCTGCATCCCCTGGGAGCCAATTAGAAATGCAGAGTTTTTGAAACCGAACCAGAACCTGCATTTTAACAGGATCCCCACGTGATTTGTGTGCACATTAAGGTTTGAGACTCATGACTATGGAACCCTCCAGATTCTCTCTCCACCTTGGGACTTTGCATGTGCTGTTCCCACTGCCTGGCGAACTCCTGCCCACAGAAGCCTCCTCCAGGAAGCCCGCCCTGATTTCACAGTCATCATTATCTGTATAATGCTGGACCAACTCTGCCCTGTTCCCCTCCTGCATCCCCTCCCCGCCCGGAGCCCACCTGATTCTCCCTCCGTATTATTTGTTGAATGCCTGTCCACTCTCATACCTGAGAGCTGTCCAGTGGCACTGCCTCCTCCTCCGGGAAGTCTTCCCTGACTGCCTTTGCCCCAAGTTGTTGATCGCCTGCCCTTCACCCCTCTCTCCCTCCGCTGCAGCGAGGGCACGCTGGTGTTCAAGCCGGGCGAGACGCTGAAGGAGCTGCGCATCGGCATCATCGACGACGACATCTTCGAGGAGGACGAGCACTTCTTC